TAGTCCTACTAACGATGAGGAAAGATCTTTTCATTACCTCGATGTGAGATGCTGCATTCTTGCTTACCTAGAAGGTACAAGAAATTTCAGAAAATCAGATGCCTTATTTGTGCTATTCTAGGAAAAGAATAGGGGATTCCGTGCAAAAAAATCTTCCATTGCCAGATGGATTAGACTTGCTGTTGCTGAAGCATACAGCTTGCTTGATAGTCTTTGTCCTATCCTAGTGAACGTTCATTCCACCAGGGCTTTGGCCACTACCTAGGCTGAGAGAGCTGGTGCCATTTCAGAACAAATATGTAGGGCTGCCACGTGGTCAAGCTTCTCTAAATTTGTCCAGCACGATCGCTTGGATCTTTTAACAAGTCTGGATCAGGCCTTTGGAAGAAAGGTTCTTCAAGCCATTATACCTCCCTGATGGTAAGTTCTTGTTGAACTTGCTGTCCTGGTAGACATTGGGGGAAAACGAAAGTTAGACTTACCGGTAACTCTATTTCCAATAGTCTTCCAGGACAGCATGGTCCCCACACTTTACTGGGGACTATACTGAAATATTTAGAGCAGGGGTGTCAAACTCAATTTAATCGTGGGCCGCATCAACATTATGGTTGCCCTCAAAGTGCCTGTAAAACTATATAAATGTATCTAATCTTTATCATAATTGCCTCTGCATTCGATTTATCACTGGTTTCAGTAATAACTTAATACCTAGATATGAAAGTAGAAGTCTAGAAAATGGCCTGGTGGGCCGGATACGGCCCCTGGGCCTTGAATTTGACACATGATTTAGAGCAGTGGTTCTCAACCTGTGGGTTGCGACCCAAAAGTGGGTCGCAACCCACAGTTGAGGGGGTCCCCACGTGCCTTGTGCTGCTCTAGGGAAGAGGCTCCTCAGCCTCCTCCTAGCATGGCAGTGTCAGTTCTACTAAATGGCGCTGCAGCATCAGCGACCGGAGAGGATCAGAGAGAGAGGAGCAGGCAGGAGTGAGGGGAGGTGAGTGCTTGGGCACCACAGAGTCCCATTAGCCACCTGAGAGCCCGCATAGCCTCCCGAGGGCCCACACAGATACTAGTATTGGTGCATCCCTAAATTTTACGGTTGGGTGTCACCAAAACTTGGAAAATGTTACCAAGGGGTCCCGGCCCTAGAGAGGTTAAGAACCACTGCTTTAGAGGGTTATTCACAAAAGAGCCGAAGGATCCAGCCGTAGCGTCGGCTAACGCTTCGGCCGCCTGAGAACTGAAGGGCTGCTGTACGGTCTAGTCTCAATAGCCCGTGCAGCAGCCAAGCTGAACGCATATGCCGTAGTGACATCCGAAGCGTGGAGAAAGGTCGACCAGAGGGCCGACTGTTCTCCACGCAAATGACAACTGGGCGGAGCGAGTCGTCAAAGCGCTGCGCAAACTGTTGGCGCTATATAAATCCTGTATAATAATAATAGTTTTGAAGTTGCTCTCACCAAGTCGTCTAGCCATCACAATTTGGCCCTTGTCAGAGTCGCTGAAATCCTTACACTGCTTCCAACACATCACCTTCAAGGACCAAATATTCACTTGCTGCCTAATACAGTATATCCCACCTAATTCCAGGTGCCATTGTAACAAGATAATGTTATGTAATAATAATATAATGTGCTGAGCTACTAGATTAATGTAAACACATCAAACATAAACATTAGTGCACAAAAGTCCCACAGAAGTGAAAGTTCAAAAGTGGTCACAAAGATTTCGATCCATATAAACTAATGAAAATAGTAGTGGTAGTGATCTTCTATCCAAAATCTTGCAGACCACACACTAAATAGATGCTTCAATCCACATGTGATAAAATAGTGATGTTCAGGTGGGTATGCACCTGAGCCGATGACCAGTAAAGGTCATAAAACACTGTTCCCTTCTTGGCGGGGAGGGACACCCTCTAGGCATAATGGTCCAGAAAGAGATAAGCAATAAACTCATAGTGCGTATCGCCCAGATAAATAAAAAACTTTTATTTACTCACATGGAATGAGTTAGAACAGCGGAGAGAGACGCAATCAATAATCCAGCTCAATACTCCACGAACGAGGACGCTCCCCCGTCCTTCCGGCCAGATCAAAATAGTGATGTCAGTAACTCCGCCCACCCTACGCGCGTTACGCCTCATGTCGCTTCATCAGGTGTGTGGAGTCACTGGCGTCTAGGTCTCCATTTAAATACAAAGACCTACCATTTAATTAGAATACCCAATAGGGATAAGTGTGTTTTATTTCAGAAATTTCTAGCTCTGTGAGCATGTCAAGTTTGGTATCAACTCTATATCTCACACTTTGCTTTCTTACAGAATCCTTGGATTCAATGGGCTGCCATTGTTGTCACACTGCTTATTCTAGAGGGGTGTCTATATTGGTGCACAGAAATGTATTGTGGGAATGTATCCACTCTGCCATCTGGAGGCGTATGTTGTGTGTTGAAGCCAGCATTAGACAGCTTTGGTGGATTACACCAGCACTCAGTACCCAATACAAGTACGTTTTGAATTAGGGAAGCACCAATACCAATATATGTGCCAATACTGGGCATTTTCCTTTTTCCAAACTTAAATTGTTATTGAGATTATACAGTTGAATAAAGTACAAAGAATAAAAAAAAAAGGATACAGTGAGACTGGGCATTTTCACAAGTACTCATACTAGTGAAAATGTCCTGATACTAAGTGAAGATACTGTTGCCGTAAATTTTGTAATGAGTTTGGCTGCCTGAGGTCCCACGCTTGCTGGGGACCTCGGCAGCCTTGTGGGGACCTCATGGCAGCTGTCTTTCACAGCTCTGGTTCCAGCTGCACATTGCCTCCTCCGCCTCATTGCCCGCATCCGCGAGACCCCAAACAGTCCTGGTGAGACTCCGCACACAGCCCTGGTGGTAATGCGCAGCCCTGGAGAGAATGCACAGCCCTGGAGAGATGCCACACACAGCCCTGGGGAGAATGCACATGCCTGGAGAAATGCCGTTTTTCTGGGATGTGTAGTCCTCTATAGCTGATGGTATTCTGCACAACTCCTTATAGTGGCTATACCCCTGTACACAATGAGTTGATGGTAAAACTAAGGGGGAAAAACTGACTTGTTTTGAGTCTTGTCAGTGAGGATGAACTGGAAATAGACTTGCATACCTGTTTCTTTTTTTTCAGGGCCGAAGCTAAGCTAATTCCTTGTTATAACTATTTACGGACGTTTGTTTGTAGATGTACTCTGGAACCATAACCACCTTAAGCCCTCTTTCACACGAGAAAAGGCCGGCACGTACAGCTCTGTGCTGCGTGCACGGATGTATCGGGCAGCTCCCGGGAAAGACAGTGCTGTGTGTGATTTAGTACGCAGCCCCTGTCCTTCTCTATGCGAGTACGCGTCCGTACGCCACCCTACGCTCACCCCAAGTGCAGGTCCGTATGGGTGCCGCGGTCCCTGCTCGAACGCAGACAGGATTTATCCTGTCGGCGTACGGGCACCTGCACGGACATGCAGGGCGGGTGAGCGCAGGGCGGCGTACGGCCACGTATTCCCATAGAGAAGGACAGGGGTTGCATATTAATCACACGCACCTGTCCTTCCCAGGAGCTGCACGGTCATAGCGGTGTGCTGGTGACGACCAAATTTGGTTTGACTACCCCATCTGTGGTCACTACGAGCACCTGACTGCATTTTGCATGGGAATGGATCCAGTAGGGAGTACAGCAAGTCATCTTGATACCAGCTAAACCCCTCACACAAGATGGCAGTGCTCCAATTCGAACACGGAATGTTCTCAAAAAAACATGCAAAAACAGTCCTGAAATGTCCTGTTAGAGTAGCAGGTCTCTAATCAGGCCTTTACCTACAATTTCTGATCACTGAGGTAGTTAGGAAGCTTTTAAGTAAATGTGAAAAGACTGCATTTTTTTTAACGTTGTTTTATTGTGTTTCTGGGAAATAATTTTACAGGCAGCTTTTAATCTTTATACTGTCCTTAATGTAGAATATTATTTTTTTAAATCATATTTGATTATCTTGAAGACGTAGGGTGAAATTAGTTTCAAAAGAGAAAATTGCTTCCATTCTTGCATAAAAATCAAAAATGTGTAAAATTACAATTGATAAAAGATATATAGTATGAAAAATACAAAATGGAAAAATAATTATGTAAATGTGCAAGTATGTTCTTGTGACCTACTGTGTTTGTGTGTCTGCATTATGTCTATTGGAATGTGAAAATTGGTCTTTTTTTTTTCCCTTTGTGAGAATGTACCAGAATCTGTAGATAAATAGCACCTTTATTCTCATATTCGAGCACTGCGGTTTCTGGGACCAGAAACTCATAACTCTGTTAATCAAAGGATGTTACATATACCAATATAGTTATACGTAGTATAATGTTGTTTTTTCATATTAATACCCTAATCAAGAAATATTACAGTACAAAACTGGCATTCATAATGTGTAAACTTCTTCATAAACTCTGAATTAGAATACTCTGCACCAAGTCTCCCTTAGTAATTTGGAATGGGAGGTGTTGTTCTAATTCATGTCACCAACTCTATAGATTAATTACATCTGTGCAGCAAATGACAGTAACTTAAACACGTAGGGGGAACTTATCAAAACTGCAGCAGACAGAATCTGGCGCAGCTGCCCACGGTAACCAATCAGCTTCTCTCTTCAATTTGTTCAGTTAAGCTTTGAGAATGAAAGATAGAAGCTGATTGGTTGCCATGCACAGCTGCTCCAGATTTTGTTTGCTACAGTTGTGATAAACTCCCTTCTTTGTATTACATCTCTCTAGACTCAACTAAAATCATGGACTTCATCAAGTCTGCTTCTATACATTCCCAAACTGAACACATTTTTTTTTAAAACTATTAAAATATAGAAAATCAATCATTACTTAGGTCCTTCACATTCATACATAATCCCTGTAAACAATAGTAGAAGTATTAGTAAACTTCCAACACAGTTATTAACATTTAACTTTTTTGTTGCCCCTAGGCCTCCTAGGACAGAAAAGCTTAAGAAAAAACCTGATGTGACAAGTGACCAAAAATCAGTGATAAAAGGTATGTTAAAATTAACATACTTATTAAAAATGTGGGTGGGTTAAAAAGACACAAAGTTGGGTTTGTGTATATGTTATACCAGGATCTTGTACACTCTACAGAGCCCACTGTGGAAGAACAACTCCAGAAGCTTCACAGCGAAATCAAGTTTGCACTGAAAGTTGAAAATCCAGTAAGTTGTTTTTTTTTATTGTTCGTTTTTTTTCTGTTTAAAAAAAGCTTGACAAGAAATGTACATTCTCCTGCCTGAAAGGTGTATAAGGGAATTTTGAGGGATTACTTTTTGCGGTGTTGTGCACATTTTAGATCGGTGTCCTTATACTATACTGTCATTTTATATTGGTGTCCTTATACCATACTGTCAATCTCCATGTGTGTGTAGATAAATAAAATATATAGGGAAAATTGATGATACCTGCTGAATCACACTGTCAAGCTTCTATTGTGTTTAAAATTTTGTTTAATGAACATATCATAAATTGTGCTTTATACTTTATAAGTACTGCATTTATATAGTGCACAATTTTATATAGTTGAAACACCATGTATACACATAATACATATATAATACGTTGCATCAATAAGCATCATGTAGAACATTTTAGCTTTTTGTGCCGAGGTTAACTAGAGTTGATGTAGAACACGTAAGTCTAATGGGTTGAGGTAACAAGAGTTTAAACATAAAATGATAAACATGTTTCTTGACCTTGGTTTAATGAACAGCTGTCCTCTAATCTTGATATGAGGGACCATGGTTTAATGAGCAATAGGTTCAATGCCTGGACAGCTGTCCTCTAACCTTGATATGAGGGAGTCTTATCAAGGTAACAGATTGTTCCACTGGTCAAAACCCTATCCCGCCTGAGTGGTTGCCAATTAATGTAACACTTGGGGAGATTTCCCCGTTCAAAATAAATATATATACTGTATATATACATACATACTGGCCATTTTCACGAGTAGTCATGAAAATTCCCCCGATACTAATGGCTGATGCCAGCCCTTTACATTTTTAAACAGTATCGGCTGTCATAAAGTCCCACGCTTGCTGGGGACCTTGCAGTGCCTGATTTTTACAGCGCCAGTCCAGCCATACATCGCCACCTCCTTTGTGCCGCCCGCACAGCCATGGTGAGACCCGAAAACAGCCCTGATTAGACCCGCATGCAGCCCTGGTGAGATGCCGTACACAGCCTTGAGGAGACCTGTATGCAGCCCTGTTGAAACCACACAACCTCCTGAGACCCTGTAACAGCCCTGGTCAGACTCCACACAGCCCTGTTATTCTGTGTTGCTGTATAATGTATTACTGGGATTTGTAGTCCCTCTACAGCTTGGAGTCTCAGAACTACCGGGGTCGCAGCAGCGACTGGTCCGTGGCTCTCCACCACTGTCCTAAAACCATTAGGTCTATTGTTTTAGAATCAAGTGACCTAAAAAAAAAAATGGTATCGTGCATCCCTAAAAAATAATAAAGGATATATATATATATATGAGAATTGGCACCCCTGCGCTTCTGTCACATAATTGTTGCAATTACCAATGTTTAGGCACTCATGTTTCTTTTGTTTGTATTTGTATGACAGAAAAAAGGGGGAGGAAAAAAAAAAGCCAAAACTGACACAATTTACGCAAAACTCCAAAAATGGACTGAAAAAAATGATTGACACCCTCGCTTAATATTTGGTAGGACAGCACTTGGAAAAAATAACTGATATCACTTGCTTCCTGTACCCATCAGTGAGTTTCTTACGCCTCGCTAGAGAAGTTTTGGAGCACTCTTCTTTTGCCAACTGCTCCAGGTCTCTCAGATTAGATGGGTTCCTTTTCCCAACTGCTATTTTGAGACAGGTGCACTATGGGATTTTGATCTGGACTCAGTGCTAGCCAGTCCAGTACTCTCCAGCACCCTGTCTGAAACCATTTCTGGGTGCATTTTGATGTGTGCTTTGGGTCATTGTCCTGCTTTAAGACCCATGACCTCTGACAGAAACCCAACTTTCTGACACTGAGCCCTACATTGCACCCCAGAATTATTTGGTGGTCTTCAGATTCCATAAGGCCATGCACACAGTCAAGACATCCAGTGCCTGAAGCATCAAAGAAACCCCAAAACATCAGTGGACCTCCACCATGTTTGACTGTAGGGACTGTATTTTTTTCTTTAACGACCTCATTTCTTTTTCTGAAAACAGTAAAATGATGGGCTTTACCAAAAAGCTGTCATTTTGTTTCATCTAAAAGCTGTTAATTTTGTGTCTTACCAATACAAACAAAAGTAATAAACATGAGAATGCCTAAACATTTGTAATTGCAACAATTTTGCGTGTTTGTGGATATATATATATATATATATCATTGTATTCAATGGTCACAGGTGTATAAAATCAAGCACCTAGGCATGCAGACTGCTTCTACAAACATTTCTGAAAGAATGGGTCGGTCTCAGGAGCTCAGTGAATTCAAGCGTGGTACCGTAATAGGTTGCCACCTATGCAATTAGTCCATCCATGAACTTTCCGTGCTACTCAATATTCTACGGAAGAAGGGGTCGGTCTCAGGAGCTCAGTGAATTCAAGCGTGGTACCGTAATAGGTTGCCACCTATGCAATTAGTCCATCCATGAACTTTCCGTGCTACTCAATATTCTACGGTCAACTGTTAGTGGTGTTATAAGCTGCAAAGGGTGGACCAACTCAATATTGAACCCTACGGACTAAGACTGGGATGCCATTAAAGTTCATGTGCGTGTAAAGGCAGGCGTCCCAATACTTTTGGTACTATAGTGTGTGTGTGTATATATGTACCTTTAAACGCACATGAACTTTAATGGCATCCCAGTCTTAGTCCGTAGGGTTCAATATTAAGTTGGCCCACCCTTTGCCGCCATAACAGCTTCAACTCTTCTGGGAAGGTGTCCACAAGGTTTAGGAGTGTGTCTATGCGAAAGTTAGACCGTTCTTCCAGAAGTGCATTTATGAGGTCAGGTACTGATGGACGAGAAGGCCTGGCTCGCAGTTTCCGCACTAATTCATCCCAAAGGTGTTCTATCAGGTTGAGGTCAGGACTCTGTGCAGGCCAGTCAAGTTCCTCCACCCCAAACTCGCTCATCCATGTCTTTATGGACCTTGCTTTGTGCACTGGTGCGCAGTCATGTTGGAAAAGGAAGGGGCCATCCCCAAACTGTTTGCATTGCATTTGGTGATGTAAGGCTTGGATGCAGCTGCTCGGCCAAGGAAACCCATTCCATGAAGCTCTAAAGCCACTGTTGTTCCAATCTGAAGGTCACATGAAGTTTGGAGGTCTGTAGCTATTGACTCTGCAGACAGTTGGCAACTTCTGCGCACTGTGTGCTTCAGCATGCGCTGACCCTGCTCTGTCATTTTTTTGTGGCCTACCACTTCGTGGCTGAGTTGCTATTGTTCCGAGTTGCTTCCACTTTGTTATAATACCACTAACAGTTGACCGTGGAATATTTAGTAGCAACGACATTTCACGGATGGACTTATTGCATAGGTGGCAACCTATCACGTTACCACGCTTGAATTCACTGAGCTCCTGAGAGCGACCCATTATTTCACAAATGTTTGTAGAAGCAGTCTGCATGCATAGGTGCTTGATTTTATATACCTGTGGTCATGGAGGTGACTGGAACACCTGAATCCAATGATTTGGAGGGGTGTCCCAATACTTTTGGCAATATAGTGTATATATACATACATACACTCACTGGCCACTTTATTAAGTACATCTGTTTGACTACTCATTAACGCTAATATCTAATCAGCCAATCGCATGGCAGAAACACAATGCATTTAGGCATGCAGACATGGTCAAGACGATCTGCTGAAGTTCAAACTGAACATCAGAATGGGGAAGGAAAGGGACTTAGAAAGTGGCATGATTGTTGGTGCGATAAGGGCTGGTCTGAGTATTTTAGAAATTGCAGACCTACTGGGATTTTCATGCATAACCATCTCCTAGGGTTTGCAGAAAATGGTCTGAAAAAGAGAAAATATCCAGTGAGCCTTAGTTCTCTAGGTGAAAATGCCTTGTTGATGCCAGAGGTCAGAGACGAATGGCCAGACTGGTTCAAGTACATAGAAAGGCAACAGTAATTCAAATAACCACTCATTACAACCAAAGTATGCAGAATAGGATCTCTGAATGCACAACACATAGAGCTTTGAAGTAGATGGGCTACAGCAGCAGACCACGCCGGGTGCCACTTCTATCGGCTTAGAACAGGAAACTGAGGCTACAATTTGCAAAAGCTCATCAAAATTGTACAATAGAAGATTGGAAACAGGTAAGTCATTTGGTATTTGCCTACTATTTAATTTTTATTTATTCATGGGGCATATATTGAATGCTTGGTAGCCGTAGCTATATGCCAAAAAAGAGACTTTAATTCTACTTTAAATGTCTGGCTGGTCCTTTCTCTAGTCTCTTGAGTTTGACAACCTATTGCTACAGCTTATCGCAGTTTCTGTTTATTACATAGGATGTTAACAGATGTTTAGGTGCTCTGGAGAAGCTTCGCAGTCTTCAGCTGACTTCTCATATTCTGCAGAAGAATACTGATCTTGTCGCTACACTGAAGAAGGTGAGCAGCAATATTTTTTTTTTCTTTTCATTACTTATTTGTGTTTTAACTACTCACAATATACCATTGTAAATCTATTCTGCTATTCAAAACTGTAGAATAATCATAAAAGTAAATGTTAAAGGAGAACTATGGGGTTAAGTCTTTTCCCCATAGTTCTCCTTAGGGTAACGGGAGGACACAAACTAGCGTCCTCCCATCACCCTAGGCTCAGTATACCGCGAGCTGTAGCTCGCGGTATACTGAGACGCCGCAGTATACCGCGAGCTGCTGCTCGCGGTATACTGAGACGCCGCAGCTGAAGCAGATCCCGACAATTGTGCCGGGATCCGCCCAACTGCGTGACTGACAGCTGGCTTTGCCTATCTAAAGGCAGAGCCAGCTGTACCCGCCCCCTCCCCCGTCCGTTCCGCCAGTCAGGGCTGGCGGATCGGGAAGGGGGGAATCCAGCCCCTCCCCTGTCACGGCAGAGAGCCGTGACAGGATCGAGAGGTGAGCGAACGCCGGTATGTGTTCGCTCACCTCCCGATCTACTGAGCCGACCTGTGACAGTCTCATTGTCACAGGTCGGCTAGAACTATGAGGTGAGTGGAAAGCACTCACCTCATAGCTCTCCTTTAAGCTGTTGGTTGCTATTGGTTACAGTGCATGTAACTTCTCCACGTGCTACATTACCTTTTGTGGATTTCTTTCATCTAAGAAAACCAATTTTGTGTTTGTGCCCTCTTTTGCTCCAAGAAAGTTTATGACATTACATGGATTCTTGCTTACACCCCCCTTAAATGTGATCTGATCTTCATTAACCTCCCTCGCGGTATTCCTGATTGTGGCTCGGGGTTACTTTTCAGTACCAAAAGCGGTAACCCCAAGCCACCTTGAGGATTTTGCAAAAGTGTCACTTACTATGTCCTCTGCTGAGCTGCGCCCGGCCGATGCCAGCATTCGGCTTTCAGTTTCATTTTCGGGCGTCACCGAAAATTCAAAAGTGCAAACATGACATTTACACAGAATACAATGTAATCTGCTATGATTACATATATTTATCAAACTATTTCACTTCAATTTTGTCCCTAGAGCTTTGTCGAGTGCCCTGCCTGCACTTTTACTGTTCTTTCTGCCTGGAAACTTGAGAACCTCCATGGCATCCAAAAAGCGTCCCTTTAGGTCGAAATTGGTTTTAGACCAGGTAGAAAACAGCGATAGTAAATTAGAATCACTTGCAGAATTGAGCGATAGCAATTAGTTGGGAAATTCGTCATCAGACACTGAAAGTGACGACAGCGACGATTCTGCGACCGAGCTCAGTGATGTGCGAACTTGGTACTCTATTGACTGTGGTACGGATCCGGCAGCGCCCCCAGAATTCCCATTTACTTGACCATTTTTTAATAATGATTATATTATAATTTCTTATTATATTATAATTTATGATTTCGTGTTTCAAACTTTATCATACCTGCGATGTCTACTGGACTCTTGTTTGGACAGATTTAGGTGAGTTATTCCTAAGATTTACAAAGAATTACAGGCCTACAATATAAAATAACAAATTGCCATGAAAAACAATGTACCGCTTTGGCATGCTAAAATCCTGCATAATCAGACTGCCAGGGAGGTTAAGGAATGCCTCTTATCCTAATGTTATTTCTTCCCTGACGATCTTCCAGATCGTCCATATTTGAGCACAAGGTTTGAAGCTGCACATGATGTTCCTTAATACCTTCGCTCAAAGCTGAATATCCCGTTATCAATGATGGTACAGTCTCCAATACCTCCACTCTCTCATGGAACCTCTGTAGATTAGAATTTAACTCCTTTCATATCTTTCTTATGTAAATCTTCTAAACGCTGATGCATTGCTTCCAAATCTTTTTTTGTAGGGAGTAAGGCGAAATATCTCCTCATTGAAAGCTCCATTTCAGTGTTATCGCTTCCTGCCTCTGAAACTTCATCACACAATGTATTCCCAGTTTAACTACATATTGTTGGAGGATACTGCCGAAGGTGGCTCCCCCTGAGACCAATATTTTTGTTGGTGTACATATTGTCTCTTCCTCCCCTGTATTACGAAAATGTTTTGCAATATTTGCCCTTACCGCCGTCCGAGTGTGTGCCTCCGATTCATTGGGCTTTTTCTTGCTGCTCTTCCTCATCTTTATCTTTCTTTTCCTTCCGCAGCTAAGCTTGTCTTCTCTCTGTCCTCTGCTCGGTGCTCTGCTTAGGTGCCTGTTGGATTGTTTTGGCTCTCCCCACTCTCCACCTAGGCATGGAGGAGCAGTCTGCAACGACGTGAAGTTTTCCTTTCTCTCCGTCAAGCAGACCAGCTCTACACTCTGTAGCACCCCTCCTCTTAGGCAACCGCTCTCTCCCCCTCCTTTCTGCACAGATCGTTGGGAACCTCACTCCTCAATTACCATGCTGGGACGCTGTGTCAAGACTCCATTGGGGCGGGTGCGAGCTCAGCACGGACGTCTTCACATGCTCATAGGTGAACGCCCCCCACAGTGCTTAACTGCCTCCGGGCCGGCCGAAGTAGAAAAACGGCCGGCCCGGAGCTCTCTAGATCTGAGCGGGCGTCTCTAGACGTCCGCTCAGACACGCCCCCTCGCGCGCGCCGATTTTTTTTCAAAATTTTCTGTAATTTTTCCTAATTATAATAAAAAATAAAAACCCCAGTGGTGATTAAATACCACCGAAATAACGCCCTATCTGTCCCCAAAAAATGGTATAAAATTCATTTCAGTACAGCGTTGCATGACGGAATAAACGTCAGTCAAAGTATCGCAGCGCTGAACACTGAAAAATGGCCTGGCCAGGAAGGGGGTCTAAACACCTGGTCTTGAAGTGGTTAATATCAATACATAACTTCTTCATGAAAACAGACTTTCTCTTTCGTTCACTGAAGGACACAGTGGATCTTCAGATCTTGACCAATTGGGTTTATAGCGCCACCTTCAGGAGTAGGACACTAGGCACAAAAGCACAGCCTAGGGGCGGCACCTGATGGTGGCCAAACCCGCTAACAGCTGGGAGCAGCTCAGTTTTTTGCCTAGTGCCAAGGAGTTAGTACCTAAGCTCCCTGCTGATAATCTTAGTTCTCTTTTTAGTGCAGGGAATTCTTGTTTTTTCTTTCTCGACTGCCTTCCGGACCTTCAATCGACAGCTGAACTGGGTGACAGGCTGGATAATATAGATCCTTAATGTAATGAAAATATGTAAATGATGAGCACATTGAAGAGGATAAGCAGGTCCAGAAAAGAAAGGCAGTTTGTGGATTGGTGAATGACACAGTTTTGGTGTGCAAGCCCTCTTGTACTTTTATATGGATTGAGTTGGCGTAAGGATATAAAGAGGAAAGAGAAGGTGCCACAACTTAGTGCAGTAAGTTTTGTTACATTAGAGAAAATTAAAATGAAACTATGTTGCACTTACATATACTGTATTCTGTGCCGTTTGCTACAAGTATTCTTGTATGTTGAAAGTAACTTCTTGTGTAAACAGCCAATACACTTTAAAGCCCATGAAGAAAAACACTTAAAAGGAGCTCTTAAACCTAATCCATGGGGAGAAGAGCAGAGACCATACTCCCTCACCACTACTCTATCCTACACTCTCTTAGTCACATTTTCAATCTCTCACTCTCTACTGGCATCTTTCCCTCCCCTCTAAGGGCCAGTTCACACCATATGCAGTTGTGATGCAAAGTCAAAATACCTCAATGCTTTCCTATGGGCTTTCTTGTGCCTAATTCACACCATTGCAGTCAGTTCAACTGTAGTCAGCAAAAGTACTGCTAGTCCTACTTTAACTGCATCAACCGGCATCAAAACACAGTGCAAACGCACCGGAACGCATTGCAAACGCATTTTAAAAAATTTAATCAGATTTGAATGTCATCATCCAGCGACTTCCTAGTTGTAGTGTGGAGAGAAATAGCAGAGATGGAAGGTGTGGATGCTGAGGAATTTATCCGATATGTGCGGGACTGTCCCATGCTGTATGACAGCAAACATCCCCAATATAAAAACAATCGTCAGAAGATGGCCAAGTGGAGGAAGATTTGTGAAAAGTTGAACCCTGATTTTGGTGCGGAACAGGGTACAGAAACAGCAATGTGGTGAGTCCACTTTTGCTCCAACATATAAAGAAAGCATGACTGAGCTCCCAAACGACAACAAATTTGTTTTGTTCGTTTTGATTCGGATTTTACGTTATTTTGTTTTTCAGGATTCGGGTCCGAAATTCAATTCGTTTCGGGATTCTGATTCGGACGAAATTCGTTAGCGGTAGTCCGATCGAAAGTTTGTTTCGTTTTCATTACATTCGTTCGTGGTAGCAAAGTGACATTAGGAAAAAAAAAATATTTTTTTAGTCTGCAGAAAAGGGGGGGGGGGGGGGGGGGGGGGGGGTGTTTG